TACAGGCCAGCTGGCTGTGCACTATACTGCACAATTCCACATGATGAGCAAGTGAGGTGACCAGGGCGACCCAGACTGTTGTGTATAATACATACTTATGTATATAATTCCTGACGAATGTGGTTTTGTGCCTACCCATGCAGTACAAGCTTCTATCCCCAATGATGGCAAATAGATGCTGATGGCATGAATAATGAAGTCAGAGAGATATCCAAAAAAAGGAAAGGTGTGATTTAACAATGGACAGGGATCATGTAAAAGCTCATAACATTTACAGCGTCTGAACCTCAAAACAGCAAGTAAAATCCTTAAACAGCAGTTCAGCAAATTATGTAATGGCAACAGCCAGTAACATGATGGAACTTCCTTTCAGCATGTCCCTGCTCGTAACAGCTTTCAACGCCTGTTAGCAACTACAGCCCTTGGCACCGCTTAACAACTTAAGTGAATTGAACAATTGCTAACAATTACCTTCCCTAAACCCTAACAGCCGTCAAAAATTCTTTCTCAGCATCTGGGTGACCCAACCAGAATGTAACATCATGTCAACAATATCCTGTTGTGGCAGAAAGTGCTCTGTTACAGGTCCTTACAGCCGCTGACAGTCCCTAGAATCAGACAACTGTTAACTTAAAAAAACCTAACAGCCGTCAAAAATTCTTTCTCAGCATCTGGGTGACCCAACCAGAATGTAACATCCTGTCAACAATATCCTGTTGTGGCAGAAAGCGCTCTGTTACAGGTCCTTACAGCTGCTAACAGTCCCTAGAATCAGACAACTGTTAACAGTGTGGGCTCCAGGTACATGTCAGTCACAGGGCCTAACAGGACCAAACAGCCTCTAACCCAGTGTCTAACTGGCTGTTATGCCACGTTGACAACTATCGTCAGCAGCTGATAATGAGCCCGGCTGACAGCCCCGCCTAAGAAGTTAGCCGCTGTTAGACCCCCTATGAGTTGGTAGGGACAGGGGTTTACACTGGAAGTACTCGCTGTACTGGTCAGACATACAGGAGGTATGGCTCATGATGGCTGGCAGTATATAGGCCTGATCTGAAGCAGACTGCAGCCATCCCCCCAGTGTATGTGTATGTATTAGCTGGCCACCAAAAAGGCCTCTCGAGATGCTGGGAAGACATGCACTCCAGCATGTATATGTATGTATGTATGTATG